TACCACGACCCCTTCTAAACCCAGCCTGGACTTGCGGCAATTCTCTGCTGATGTGCTGTTCTAATCTATTGATGTGAATACTATTCAATAATAACTCTTAATTGAATGCTTATTAATGTCATACTGATGTGCCAAATGTGATAATGGTTATCCATGGCGGACAGTGTTTGGTGGAGCGCCCCGATTAAAACAATCTTAGAGGCAGGAGTGGCATCCACTTCCAAAATGGCTTGCCTCTGGAAACTCTACAAGTGCTCAGGCCTTTCATTCATAGGGTCGCTATGAGTCATCTATGACTTGAAGGCACTTAACAATAACAGCAACAACATTAGTGTCATGCACGTTGAAAGGCACTTCATGTGTATTATGTCATTGACCACTATGACAGAGCTGAGAGTTACATTGCTGCCCTGGCAACGTGCCCCTTGGGGCCTCGTCATTCTCACCCTGGCCTCTCCTTGAGGTCGGGCTTTGGCCCGTTTCCTTTGTCATTCACTGAGTGTTCAGTGTCTCAGGTCCAGTGAATTGTTAGGTCAAAAGTAGATGGCCACATCCTCCAGCTGTTTCTTGTTTCAGCAAACTTGTCTTCTTGATAGCCTTTCCCTTTTTGTCTTTCTCACTATCTACTTTCCCCCCCTACTTTCAAGAAAGGTCATGTTCACAAGTGCCAGAAGTTGAAACCTAATAATATTATTTTTTTAGGGGGAAAAATCAATAACAGTATTTCTTCCTACCCTCTAACCATCACAGAGGCTGGAGGCAAGTCAACTATTGTTTTATTTCACTAGTTTATTTACAAAATTCTAATACAAATTTGAAGAAATTCTTTCAATTTCCTTCATCCCCCACCCATGAAATTGTATAACCCAATGATTAATCCCCTCTCTCCCCTACACATCCACATCCCTCTGCTTTCAGCCTCTCCCACCCTTCTTGGATCATTATACTCTTCTATATTAATGATTTTATTACAATATTTATCCTTGTGGGACTGAGTTAGTTCACTCAGTAATGCTCTCTTCACTATCTACTTTTGAAGCAAGCAATACTTGCTGTTGTTGATGGCCTTCAAGTCAAGCACGACTCATAGCGACCCTATGAAGAAAAGGTCTGAAGCCCCTCTGCAACTAACAACGTTTATCAAAGTCCATGCAGTTTCCAGAGGCATGTTGTTTAGGAAGTGGATACCACTGCTGCTTTCAAACCTGTCTTAATGTGTTATTGTAAACAATACTAAAGAAACTATTAATAGCATGATGGAATGGTTTGTGTTCATCTCTATACTGAGGGGCAGATACAGAGTATGAACTAGAACCCATGCCCATCGACATCAAGTCGCCAGTGATTTTATGTTCTGCCTGCAATGTGATGTGAAACTTAATACATTCTGCTAACCAATACCAATTTATGTTTGCGGAATGCATCTCCTTTCCAGCATAACATGCCAGAAATGTTCATTTTAAGCATTACTGGCTAAAGGCATATGTTCAATATATGATGCTGAAATTGCAATTTGAAAAAGAGTTTCTGACTCTTGTGTTGTTGCTGAATGCCTTCTCCTCTTGTTCCGTAGACAGTAACTTCATCCTCGCCAATGCCCAGGTGGCCAAGGGCTTCCCCATAGTCTACTGCTCCGATGGCTTCTGCGAGCTGGCTGGATTTGCCCGGACCGAAGTCATGCAGAAGAGCTGTGGCTGCAAGTTCTTATTTGGGACTGAGACCAACGAGCAACTGATGCTTCAGATAGAAAAGTCACTGGAGGAAAAAACAGAGTTCAAAGGAGAAATTATGTTCTACAAGAAGAACGGTGAGTTGGTTTTCTTTGGTGTTCACTGGAACCATGAAAGGTCATCTCTATTGAACTTGACAATTGCTCTGAAATTTCCATTAAGGCTTGTAATAGTTCTCATAAATACAGTCTGTCATAGAAGTTCCATAAATGGCTTTCTCAAAAAGTTGCAAATAGAGATACCATTTGACCCAGCAATTCCACTACTGGGAATATACCCTAAAGAGACCATAACTGACATCCAAGTAGATATATGCATACCCATGTTTATTGCGGCTTTGTTTACAATAGCAAGGAGTTGGAAACAACCTAAATGCCCATCAACAAACGAATGGATAGAGAA